ACAAGCCTTTCCCTTTTGTTTTCTTTCCAAACTGCCAATGCTTGAGACATGTTTTGATTACACACGTGCCTGCAACCTGCACTGCTTCTTGGAAAAGCCTTTGGCTGCCATGGGGACTGGGAGCTTCTCGCGGACTTGGGCTGGGACAGCGCCGGGACAGAGGGTGCCGCCTGCTCCGCTCTGAGCGAAGGCAAGAGGGTGCTGGGTAGGTGGGAAGGGGCTGGGGAGCACCCTGCTCTGCAGCTGGGTGGGTGCTGCGCTCCCGGGGGTGCAGAGTGGTGGGTGGCCTGGGGTCCCCTCTTTTTAAAGCTCAGGACTCAGAGCAGCGATGCTTTCGATGCTGACTCGCCAAGGCTGAACTCATTAGGCAGGTATTTTTTATATTAGACTCCAGTGGGAAACCGGCTGATTGCGTTTCCCTGTCACCCGAGGAAAAGCCTGGCACTCCATCCGCGATGCAGGGAGGGAGCACGGGTGAGCCCTGGTGAGGGGAGCTGGGCTAGGGCTGTGCCAGCCCACTCCCAGGCATGCCACCGGCCTGCTGGGTGACCTTGGGCAAGTCACTCTGCCTCTCCATGCCTCAGTTTCCCCATCTGTAAAATGGGGATAATAATACTGCTCTACCTCACAGGGGTTGTTGTGAGGCTTCCTTGGCTAACATTTGTAAAGTGCTTTGAGATCCTCAGATGAGGGGTGCCACAGAAAGCCAGAGGGTCTTTGTGAAGGGTACCCACAGTGGGGGCTCAGGCAACCCAGCCCCCTTCCCAAAGGCTGTAGCAGGACATGAGACATGAAGGGAATGAACTGATCCTAGAACTGAAGTTGACAATGTCCTTTACAGTGTGATTTGTTCCTTATTTCTCCATTATTTGTGGGTGTCTGACAGTGAAACTGCAGGACAGGCAGCTCCCTGGTCCCCATGCAGAACTGGGCACCAAAGCTGAGCCGTGACTTCCCTGTCTGTGGGGGCCTGTACCCCGACAGAGGTGCCGGAGTGGAAGGCAGGTGAGGATTTGAGCAAGGTGACCAAGGAAATGTTGGGTGCTGTCTTCTCTGGAGACTGTTGTGGGAGAGGTCAGACCCCATCTGCCCGTTTGTGGGGTGGTGGTGTGGAGAGCACCTTGCAGCCTTGGCCCGGGTCCATGGCTGGCTGGGCTCAGGGGCACCCGCCAGAGTGGGGCTGTGCGTTTGGGACAGGGGACAGGAAACAGGTACAGGCACCCGGCCCCAGGCAGGTTTCCTTGGCTGCTGGTTAGGTGGGCAAGTGGGAGTCAGGTCCCCAGGATCCCCATCCCCTCTCTGAGGATCCGTGGGACCCTCAGGCAAATCACTTGACTTCTCTGTGCTTCAGTTTCCCCATCTGTAAAATGGGGACCGTAGATCTGACCTACCTCACAGGAGGTGTGAGGCTCCCTGCATCGCTTTGCAAAGTGCTCTGAGATCCTGGGGCGAGAGGCACTCTGTGAATGCCAAGTCTGGTTAATGTACCATAGTCACGCGTGAGAGTCTGGGCAGGAAGGTGTGAGACCTCCTGGTTGCCCCAGGAGACCCCCCAGCCCGTCCTTGGAGGAGACCTCCCGTGGGGGAGGACAGTGAGGGAGGAAGAGATCTTTTTTTAAAGAACTATTTTTAGCTGTCCTAACCTGTTGGCCTTTTTTAGACGGTATCTGGACACCGTTCCACTTACCCCAGGATATGCAATGCCGTACTATGCATGGATTACTCCTCTGGCTTGATGGAAAAAGTCACCATAAGCAGTTTTTGAAGTGTAACTCTGGATGTGTGTGTGTGCGGGTGCCGCTCGCAGCGCAGGGGGCTCGGGGGAGCCGGCTGGCTTGGGAGCTTGTGCCAGCTCCTGCGAGGTCCCTGCTGTCACAAGGGCTTTGGGGGCTCTGCAGAGGCTTCCTAGGGCATCCTGCTGTCACAAGGGCTTTGGGGGGTCTGCATGTGCTGGAGAAGGCCCTGCCAGAGGTGCTTGTTGCACCAGACACGTATGTGTATGAGCACATGGAAATACAAGTAGGAGATACCTGCGAAGGAACACAGGGTGTGTACCACACACTGCGTGATGACTTACAGCACATTTTTGCACTGTAGAGGTTTAGTTAGCTTTGCCTTGAATGAAATAAAGTTTATGTTTCCTAGAGAAACTCACTCTGGGTTGCTGTGGGTGTCTGTTTAGGCTTACCATGAACCCCCTGTGCCCATGCTGCGTTTCAAGCCCTGTGCTGAGGCAGAGAGCAGCAGTTTCCCTCGTGTGATGGGTGCAGGCTGTGTCCGTTCCCTGTAGCTGCTTGTCCCGGGTGGATGACTGCTCCCTCTCTGCCTGCATCCTGCCCCTCTGCTTTCCACTGGGGCTGAAGCTACACTTGAAAAAGTTGATTTGAAATAATGCCTAATGTTTCTGTGTGTTTCCAGTCATTTAAACTGACCCCATTTTGAGGAGCTGGTCTGACTGAGTGGCCAAGGTGCAGTGCACAGGAACAGCTTGTTGACAAGAGCCAGCAAATAAACCCTGCCACACGATGGGAAAAGCAGCCCTAGCATATAGCACAGGGTGCTGGGAAAAATATCCCTGCAAGCAGGAGGGACAAAGCCTTCAGAGGCTGTGTGAAAAACCAAATACTTTCTTTTAATGAGGATGCTCTACAGCACAAACATCATTTCTCTCTGGGTAACAGTAGTGAGCAAACAGCCACTTAGCCCCACAGGACCCTTCCTGCCAGAGCAGGGTCAGCACAGGGCAATAAATTAATCTCTCTCCGGAAAGGGAGCTTGAGCAGGTCAGGTTCCTTCACGGTATCGGTGGCCGTGGCTCTGAGCTGCCCTTTGCCTCCTTGGCTGGCCCCTGACGTGCTAAATCACAGCCTGCCAGCGAGGGTTCGGGAGAAACCGCTCACCTTCCGT